GGCCTGCTGGGAGGAACGGAGCCGCATCCCATCAGAACCAGGGAGGACCACCAGCCTGCACCGGGCCTGCTGGGAGGAACAGAGCTGCGTCCCATTAGGACCAGGGAGGACCACCAGCCTGCACCGGGCCTGCTGGGAGGAACGGAGCCGCATCCCATCAGAACCAGGGAGGACCACCAGCCTGCAGTGGACCGCCGGCAGGAGCGGAGTCGCACCCCATTAGGCCCGTTGCTGCGCTGAGCTAATTGCATCAGGCTGCACTTTAGCTCTGGCCTGCGTTTCAGATGCTTGGTGTCATTTTAAAGAAACGGAGCATGGTTTCAGAACAGGATCTGAAGTTAAAATTTCAGACCTCCCGAGGGAAGAACAATTCAACGGACAAGCTTCCTTGTCGGAGGCTCCTGCCCCATTTCTGTCTGTGGGACAGATGGGAGCTTGGGGTGGGCGAGAGGGGTGGGAACTGAAGGAACAATAGTGTGGCTTCCATAGAGTTCTCTAAATAGACAGCTCTCCAGGGCGCCCTGTCTGCACCCCTCTGTATTCCCAGGTTCTTGGGGTGCTGGTGGGTTCAGAGGCTCACAGGGTGCTTCCCGTAATCAAAGGCATTGAAGTGGTGGTGGTGTGGTGGTGGTGGTGGTGGTGGGGGGGCAGGAGCCTGTGTGATGTCCCATCCAGGGCCCAGTTTGGCGTGAAGTTTGAAGGCAGACACCCCAGCCTCCTCACCAGCTCCCTCCTTCCCTGGTAAGACTGAAACCCTTCCTGCCAGTAGGACGGGCTCTGCCCGGGCTGGTAGAGCGCGAGCCTGGCACCCTGGGAGGCTGCTGCAGCCCCTCTCTGCTACCCTGGGTCTCTGTGGGTCTCCCAGGCCAGAGGCAGGCTTGGCTCTCAGGGACCTCCTCTGTCTCATTTCTCCCCTGCGGAGCCAGTGTCAGGGCCCTGCCTGGTCCCTTGACAGGGAAGGCAAGGGCCTGGGCCTGGCCCTTACAGCGGGCACTGCAGCCAGCAGAGGCGGCTGGGCCCCCGCCCCTCAAGAGTGGGGAACCGGATTCTGAGCTCTTCAACTTCAGAAGTTCCAGTGTTTGCCCTGACGTGGGTTCCAAAACACTCCCGCCAGCTCAGTCGCTTGTGCCTTTGTTGGTTAGTTGGTTTGTTTCACAGAACTGGGCCCCTGTCCTGTGCCCAGCCCTGCCCGAGGCACGGGGACACAGGCCCAGCAGAGGGAGCACTCGGCACCTATGCAAACAGTGGGGACTCAGACGCCAGAAGGAAGCTGGGGTGCAGGGGGTACTGGGGTGCTGGGGGCGACTGGGTGTGGTGACAACGGGTTTGCTGTCCGGCTATGTCCTTCATGAACACTACAAGCAAGTTCTCCCGTACAAGAACTGTGTTCTGCTGTGAGAAACACAGATTCCCTTTTTGCTTCAGCAAAGATAAATAGGGCCACTCGCTTTCTCCCCGGCGCCAGCAGCTTCTGAGGCTAGGAGCAACTTGCAGTTCAGGAGTTTTGTTCTGTTAAAAGGGTGACGTGAACATCCCGTCCTCTACTCCCTGCAGAAAAAACACGGACATGGGTGTGCGGTGTGCCGAGGCCCGGGCACCCAGGTGGGAGAGGCACGCCTGGCGATGAGGCAGCTCCGCCTGACCAGGGCCTCTCCTCTTGCAAAAGGCCCAGGTCCAAAGAAATGTGTGGTCCCAGTTCTGAAGGCCCTGGGGGACCATGTGGGTCTGAAGCTCCAGCTCTAAGCCTCCCCCATGGTCCGGAGTTCAGAGGTCTGAGAGTCACCAAAGTCACCCCAGCCCAAATGCCAGGCTTCTGGATTCCATTGCGCGCCAGGGGGCTGCCCTGCCTTCTGTGAGAATGCCACAGAAACAACCAGGACAACAGCTCGGGGCACGCGGAGGGGGGTGCGGGGGGGAGAGGTGGAGTGGGGGAGCAGGGCTGGGAGAGCCTCCCTGACCCCCTGCCACTGCCATAGTCCATCCGGGATATCAGTGAAGCCGCCGGACACTTGGCCTTTCCCCCGCGGCCCTGGCCGTGCTCTGCTCCGGTGACATGATGGCACTTGCAGACAGAGGCGACGAGGACAGCCCTCCTGCCTGGCACCACGAAGGGGCCCTATCCGCCCATCATCCAGCCTGAGCAGGATCCTCTCTGCTTCCCTTTAATGAGATGCTAATGGGATGCATCATTAACGCAGCAGCTTTTAAACCGAGCTCTTGTAAATTTTCAAAGGTCACATTTTTACGGTAGCTGACAGCATCCTGCTTCTTTCAGCGACTGAAGACACTAAAGACCCTGATCCTAATGGATGGGCCTCTGTGAGGCGGCTGCTCGGGCCCAGGCGCCCGCTGTGGGGGGTGCAGAGAGGCCTCCTGGAGGCCTCCCAGGGTGCCAGGCTCGCGCTCTACCAGCCCGGGCAGAGCCCGTCACACGCTGCCCACAGGGCTGCATTGGGGCCTGTGGCCGTGGGGGAAGGTGGGGCACTTTGCAGAGATGCCTGGCCACGGGGGCGAGGGGCTGACACCGCTGGGGGCGCAGAGCCACGTTCCCTCCCACAGAGCGTCACGGGCTCACCAGACTGTGCACCCGTGAAGCTGCTGCAGTCCAGAGGGGCTGCTTTTTCTAACGTGTTCACCCAGAGGGAGCACCATTTCCTACTTTGCACAGAGGTGCCCTACGGGCCAGCAGGGTCCGGGTGGTCAGCGGGGTTTGAAGGATGAGCCTTCCTGGGGGCCCTCATGTGTCTCGCTTCTTCCAGCTCCTACGCCCTGTGCACAGGATGACCGCAGCTGGCACTCTGCCTCTCAGGGCTGTGCTGACCCTGCACTGGTGGGCCAGCTCCATGAGGGAGGGACCAGGCACGATGCCTGGCCTGGTGCAGGTGCCCAGGGAACGAATGGCCGAGAGCAGGG